CAGACATTTCCCTCCTTATGCATATTACTACACCGTTACAACAACACATCCGCATTCTCAATCACTCCTGTAAAGGCGTCAGTGGTAGCGCATTCTAAGCGCAACATGCCAACCAGAGCTCACCGCTCATTTAATGCGAAGTGTATCGGCCAGTGGTAGCATAAATTAAAATTTTGACAAGCACGCGCATTGATTTCGGTATGTACGCTTCTGTATTTTTCGGAACGTACATATTGGTTTCAGAACACATCCCACTACGCTGCAATAACGCGCGGTCCGATACCCCTGTCATGTGAAAACGACCGCGTGCGTGAAAGGGTTGAACTCTTTCTACCGTAACAATTTCGATATGAGAGAAAAGTTAGAGAGACATAGAAAAACTGCGAGGGACTCCAATAATACTTGGATAATTCACTGTTTGTTCTTCAATGAAGGAATACGAGATTGGTAGCACGGCACTTATTAGCGCACCATAGCTGATGCTTCGGTGGTTTCGCTTTCTTCAGAATCTGGAAAGGTCACATTGAAATTTGTGGTCAACGCTGACGTTAATAGAAAATCGGTCGTGGGAAATTCTTGGATGCCTACTTGGATGGCAGGTCTTCACTGGTTATGAGGGTCCAAGCATAATTTCCATTAGTTTCTTCCTCGCACAATCGTCTTGCATGTTGGTGACGTGCTTCGGACGGAGTTACATCCGCGAGGGCCATTCCGTAATTCTGAAACCGTTGCCATCTACGAGTGAAGATGGTTGATGGTAGGTAGTCTACCCCTCGTTTGACTGGCTCCTAAGAGGATGACACTCTTGTACTCCTGGTCTCCACCGTTCTTTTCGCCCACCTGTCATCTGTTCTGTTAGCCATGGACCGGCCCATCTATGCTTCGCCATCGATGTATATTCTCCCGGAGCCCGAAAATGGAATAGGTGTCGAAGAATTGAGCTGCGTATTGTTTGCTAAACATTGTGAGTGCCAGTTAAATTTCGGAAGGCATCATTCAAGCGCCCTGTAGGTGCTGTGCAGATTTCTCGAAGTGGTCGAAGTATCAGTCAACGTTTCTGCTGCATAACAGAGCGTTGGGAGGGAACAACATGAAGAAGGAATTAGGCAAAAGAAGGAGAGCAGCATGAGCCGTATTCGGGCCACTCAAAAAGCCACCGACCAACTAACGGACCTAAAACTTCGCGCTCACCTTTTCGATCCAACGATCTAGGGAGCCCAAATCGGCATTGAACCCAGATCGATCCCGTTGACGGGTGATTGCTGATGGCAAAAGATCGGTAGAACTAGCTATGCCGATTTGCGCTCCCCAGATCAACCCCGCTGACGGGTGATTGCTGTGGCAAAAAGATCGATAGAAATAGATGAGAGACAGGCGAAACGAAGGCCCCGCATGGTGTGGTGGTGAACGCGTTACTCCCCGGAAAGGATAATAGCGCGTTCGTTCCCCACCATAGACACCTGCGGTCCAGAGTTTTGTAAATATCTCAGTAACGTTGTGGTTGTATTTCGCTTAGTAACCTGCCATGAAAATTATAGAAGGCAGAAAACAAAAACGTTAAACATTTAGTTATAATGTTCCAAGGTTCTCGACGGCACTTCTTCAGATTGAGTCGTTTTGAACTGTTCCCAATGCCTATACCAACATAAATTCTAAAAGGACCTTCTACAGCTGGTATTTATTATATCAGCCGGTTGGGTATTTTCCAACAGCTTCAAACTTCAGTATATCTCTCTTTTCGAGGAACTCCTTTGTGGTAATGTAGATGCGGTCTGAACATCCTGTTTAAAGAACTGTGGCAAGTTCAGCGAAAGCTTTAAGTCCTTCGACAAGCAACGTGTAGTCCCCGGTAGGATCTTCGTTTATCTGCCATTCATATGAGAACAGAACTTCGATGAGAATATCATACTCATACACGATTTGTTCCGTTTTTGTTGGACTGTGACAAGAGTTCCCAGGATCAACTTTCTATTAACTTCGACACTGGAGTATGAATGCGTCGTTTTCTTGTTCAGCAATCACGAGGTTGTTAAACAGCATACATTTACTTCCAGAGAGAAACACAACACAGTACAACAGTAGCTGACGTTTCGGCAGTATTGCCTTCTTCAGAGCCTGGAAGGGTATACTGATATACAATTTATTGAGCCAAACGCTTCAGTAACACTTACAAAAAAATGAGAAACTCTTTAGTAATTACACGATCAACAGCTTCTCGAAAAACTCACCGCTTTTTTACGTGACTACGTGAATTCCAGTGAGAAAGATTAGAACAGCTGATTATGGTCGCATATGGTTGATGACTACACAGTCCCACGACAGAAATTGATGCGAAAATACGGGGATAGGTAGCGCGTGTCCTCTGGGCATTCCTTCCTGCTATTCATTACAAGATTCTTGGCATTTATCCAAAGCCTCAAGAAGTTTTCGCGCTGATGTTTTAGTCTCCTGTGCAAGGATATTGACTTTTACTTCAAAATCGTCTCCGCTATGCTTTTGTATCCCATGCGTGCCTGGTAGGGTACCTTGTCTTAGTTTTCGTTTGCCATCTAGGTGCTCTTTTATACGGATACACAAAGGTCTGCCCGTTTCGCCAATATATTCATCTCCGCAATTGTTACAAGAGATCAGGTATATCGTACCTGAACTCATGCAATCACCGTCCGTGCCGTGAGGGCATATTACACAATTTGTTGTTTAACACAGACGGTCATACAGGCGGTTACGAACTAATTGACGACGTAGAGTAGCCGGTGGTATTTCAACTATCGCTACCGATTCCTCTAGATCTGCCCTTCTCAAGCATCGTTTAGTAGCCACGCTTACTTCATCGCTAATAAAAGGCAACATAAACGGGACTTTCTTTTGGCCAAGTGTTTCGTTTTGGCGTGTCGCTCCCCTTCTAAACTTATCTCGTGGGGTTACTATTTCGTAGCCATTGGAGATGGCTATTTGCCGAGCCAAGTCGCTGTGACAAGAGTTCCTTTCCGGTTTATGGCATTGTTGAATCGAATCTTCTCGTGCACAAGGCGGTGATCAGAACCGCTACTTAATTCAGCTGTCGTTGAGGTGTCAGAGGGGTCCCACTGTCTATTGGTGATAAATGATCGATCTTCGTATGAGCCGTGCCGTTACTAAATCCCCATGCCAATCAACAATTTCTCTCTTCTCGAGAAATGAATTACCATGGGAGAGACGAGCTGGGGCGGAAATCCTACAAGACGGTTTCCGTTCTCATTTCCTTCCGCTAATCCAAATTTCCCTACCTGTATTCATTTTCTTCCGCCGTTTCTAACCTCGTGTTGACGCATGCAACGACGAATTTATGGAAGTACTTCTTGTTGTGAATTGCTTCAATTTGGTTCTAAAACGCTCCTAGCTTGCCCTCATCAGCTGTACAAATCAGTGAGCAACAGTCGATGATACTCAATTTCTTCTGACGCGCACGACAAGAAAGGTCAACGCTTCCGACATTACGTAACGGAAATTTCCCTCTGCAAATGGCAAGGGTTCTGTCATCTGATTGGGGTATGTCGGTCTTCCTACTTTTCGTTTCTTTTAGGGCAATCACAAAGTATTTGATGAGATCAGCAGCTCTAACAAGAGCTTAAATCTCGGCGTCTGAAAAGACAATGTGGCGTTATACGCGCATAGCAAGAAGCAGCTTCTGCATTATTTCGTGGGGGCGCTTGTTTTGACTGTTACCAGTGAGCCATCACGCCCGAAGCGTCATCATCCTTGCCGCCATCCACGAGCGGGCGACAGCGGTCGACAGCGGCCGGCTGTGCGCGGTGGCGAGCGGCGACGCGCGCACGCGCCGCGTCGCCGGTCACCGCGCAGCGCGATCGATGGGCAGACGAGCAGAGTGGCGCGACGCGGTGGCGGCCAGTCGATAACGCGCAGTTGTCTCGTGCGGTGTTCCCGCCACGAACGCGCACGCCCACAACGAGTGCCCAGCGAAGCCCTGCTCATCGTGATGAGCTTCTACGTGTACTGGCGGATCGCCGATGTACTCTGATCTTTGCAAAAGAGGCTGGTTCTGGCGCCAATGATCACCCCCATGCCTTGATCATCGGGACCCGCTTGTCCGTGCCTCATTAGTCGCTGCCGTCACTGATATCGTATCACACACGAGGTGCATGTAGAAACTTACAGGGAAGGCTGTACAGTTCATTAGCCACGAATGAATTGAATATGCGATACAATGACCGTCTGAATCTGACAAGTTCCTCACCCTCTTCTACAGCTGCAGCTGGCAATCAATATTGATTTAACATGTTTAGTTTGTGCTTTTTTCTCTGCACTGAAATATACGCGCCTATTGTCTATCATCTGGCGTCACATTCTTCCCGGAAGATGTTAGTGTATACGTTTAGTGGATTCTGTGCTTTTCATTTAATCTCCACACTCTGTACTGGTTTCTGGAGGTGAACACGAAGTCATCGCATCGTGAAATTCACCCCTGGAGGTGATTTCCCTTCATGATCTCCAGTGTCTGGGTTTCTTCTTGTGTTTCGATTTCATGAAAATCTCTTCTAGCTATCAAGTTCGCACGGAAACAGTATTTTATAGAGTTCTGCCGGTACCTCTGAAGCTTGGGAAGGTACGAGATTGATTGGTTACTGTGACACTGCTGTTCTTATTCCCGGGATACGACAAAGAAGAGATAGCTCTCTTTAGTAAGATTTCACTATTTTTGGATAATTAGGCGACCTGTAGTTTCTTTTTTCAAAGATTGTAGTTATCTTGTTACTTCTGTTGATTAACGCATTAGGATTTCATCTTGTCCCATAACGCTTCACTTTCCAGACAAATCGAACCACTCTCCTCAGACGCCGTATTTCGCTCACTCTGTTTTCGTTCACGCCGCCACCATACCACCCTCCAGGAAGTCCGAGTTTCTTTTGTCTACGAGTTTATTTTCCTACTTTTTTTCATTGGTAAGTTTTTACTCTTTTAACGTACGTATGGAGTATTTGTGCAATTTTTGTTCAGACCCCATGTCTTCTATACCACGAGGCGCTACGAGCGCCAATAAACCCAAGCCTGTAAACGTAAATACTTTGTACTCGGGTCGTAACCTCACCGCGGGTGCCAAGCCCCTCGGTAAGCGATCAGATTACATTTGTTTGTAGCTTGGTGGTTATGTTGAGTTTCTAACTGTAGTGTATTTTCAAGTAGCAATTCCATCTTGTTTTGTTTTGCTAAAATGCAACCTATGGATTCTCTATAAGGATGTAGGGAATTTGTGCATTACGGTTTAAAATGTTCCTGTTAGAATTAGAATCTTGTATCTTTATCTGTGTCCACTATCCAAAATTAGTAGCGTGAAGTACCGATATGAAAGTTTTGTGGCGCGGTTTACTTTATGGTATTTGGCTAGGATTTTTAATGTTTTTTGCAAGCGAGTGGTTTTTTGATATTTTTAAATCAGGAATGTTAGAGCACTTGCCTCACGTGGTTCTCATACTATTTAATTTCAGGTAAACATGGCCTTACCTCTGTTGGGAAAAGTGTTGGAGTTGTGCGTCGAATGCCTCCACCAGCAACACTTCCTTCTCTGAAAGCAGAAAACAATGGCCAGGATCCCAACGTCGTCGTAGTACCTCAAGGTCTCGTGCTGAGAGCTAGTTCGAGTTTCAGTTTATCGATTGTAGTATATGCTTCGAATATTTTTTTCTTTTGAAGGAGGTACCGGGTGGAACAAAAACGAAACGTCGTCAGATGCCTCTGATGTTACTAAAACGCAGTCGTCGTGCTCGTCGAGTGGACTGGACTTGCGACCAACATGGGCGAGGCCAACGTCCGATGCCATAAATAGTGCGAGTAGCTCCACGCGAGAATTCCCAACGTTAGCTGTTGCAGTCCATGGTACGGATTCTTCTCAGAAGATACAAAGTATGTTTGTAATGATTACAACTAACTTTTTTATGTTGGCATGGGTACGAATTGGAAGAGCGAGATGGGTGTGGACAGACAGTTCATGACAAATTTGTGTGTACATTATCACTTTAGGTCAAAATCCACGTTAGTTTTCCTTTGTAGTTGAATAAATGGGCTTACGAATCGTGCATATTTCAATACAATATCTTTTCTTTCTTCGCGAACATTGTTCATCAAGGTGTACCGCGTCACGCTAGGTGGTTCCTACGTATTTTCTTCGATGATGTGTAACTTTGAGGCAGTCCTAAGTGTAGGTGCTTAATTTGGGCTGCGAACACTGTCTTACGTCGTGCCTAAACATGTCGCTTCACATCCTGAGATGCTCTTGAGATATATCAAAGATGCTCCTGAGATACATCGAACTTTTCTAGGTCATTATGCTAATATGAGATTAGAAAAATGTTTTATTCGAATAAGATTTCGATATTATCGCATTCCTCAGAGCTGGGACCTCGTGTTTGCGCTTAGTAGTCGAGAAAAATACTGGTTACTTATGCCGAGGTAAAATGAAAGCCGTCTGTATTGTTTCTCACATCCCTTGTGTATTTGTCCCATCTTACGATTTGCACGTCTATGCTTTTGTTTAGGTGTACATTTTGTTAAGTCACGAAAGCTGATTATTTGTGTAAATTTTGAGCAGCGATAGCTACGTTAACGTTCTTCATGCGAGCAGTGTTTCCGAGAACGCTAAAGTGGTGCATGAAATTATCGATTTTTCGAAATTTCGCATACATAACGGAGTTGCATCACATGTATCATCTGTAGCCCCGTTGATCGTCGAGTGACTCGAGCGGGCCCCACTAAATCCTCCATTTTTCCCTGTAGCGTGCAAGAGTAGTCCAGTGGGTTCTGCTCGCTTTAAGGGCTCGTTGAACATCACATATTTCTTCAAGGCCCTTTGTGAAGAACTCTGACCATCGGGTCGGTGGTCTTCCTGCCGCGCATTTAACTTCCCAAGTAATCCAGTCACTAACGGATCTTGTCTATCGGTTGTCATTCAAACGTATTACGTGTCTGGTTCACCTTATCTTCGACTGTTTGGCGTACAGAACGGCATCTTTGATTTTTGATCGCTGACGCAGATTGGAGCTTCGGATCCCATCCTATGTGTGAAACGGGATACTCCTACCATCGTCTTTTCGACTGCATGATCGATAACGCTGAGTGATCATTCATCCTGCTTACACAGCGATCAGGTTTCTGACGCATACGTTAGGGCAGGAAGTACCGTTGAGTCGAAAAGGTGGGCACGGAGTCGGGTGTTCCTTGTTTTCTTCACTACACTACATCCTTGATGCAATTGAAAGCTTCCCAATCTGCAAGCGT